GTTCAATAGTTTATTGAAAGTTTTAAATGTATCACCCGTGAAAGACACGTAAATTTATCATATGAAAAAAAATTAATAATTTTTAATTGATATTATTGTTTATATTTAGTCGATTGACGAATGTAATGGAAAGAGTCAACAACTGTTAAAAGAAATAAAAATGCTATCAAAATCGTTGAACAAACGGACATCAATATCAACCATTGATACAACTCTTACAGATGATATCGATTATGAAGATATGGAACATCTAGTAATAGGTTTAAAACAGTTGGTATTGATGAGTGATCATTCAGAACGTATTCGTCTTCTCAAGCTATGTCAATCGACTTGGAGTAGACGGGAAATTGCAAATCATTTCTCAGTTTCTGAATGCGAAGGTCGAATGGCAGTTGAATTACGTGAATCTAATGGCGTGTTATCATTCTATGAGAACAATCAAGATCGTGGTCAATTAACACCAGTTACAATAAAAACTGTTCTTGATTTTTATGAAGGTAAATTTAAAAGGATCTCACTATTTATATTTAGCATTTTCGTGATCTAGATGATCTGATTAGCCGATGCTCATCCAATTCGAAAGATACAATGAATATCAAACAGAGTAGTGGAGAGAAAAAGACCATCTTTTGTCAACACATGCTGATGTCTTTGTCGGAGGCGTTTGAGTTGTTTAAGGTATGTTACCAATTTTAAAGTTTGTTCATCATATTTGGTTTGAATTATCAATAAACGTATTTTTTTTATAGTCGGAATATAAAAACCATCGAGACATAAAGACTGGTCGTACTAAATTTTGTTATCTCAGACCCAAATGGGTAAAGTTGTCTATAAAGAAGAATGTATGTCTCTGTCATTTTCATGAAAACTTCAGATTATTGCTTGTGGTAAGATAACATTTTTTATCGTTTAATCTTTGTGATTTATGTACACTTAATGTTCTAGACATTTTCTACTTTGGTACAAGCATCTATTAAAACGAATTCATTTGTGGAACAAATAGTTTGTTCTCAAGAAAATAGTTCATGTATGTATGGTGAATGTGACTCATGTCAAATGAAAATTCCATCTACTGAAATACCAAAGCTATATCCTCAAATCGATCTTGACGAGGATGTAAGTTGGGCGAAATGGGCGAAATTAAATGGAAAATTAGATATCCATCGTATGAGCGATTCTGTTCATGATCTTTTGTTGGAAATAGATCATCAACAGGTGTGGCACTTTTCCGTTGCTTTACTCCGAAAAGTAACAGTTTTCCGTTACTAGTTACTAGTAACGGGAACGATAATCTGTTACCTGTTACCAGTACCGGTAACGGAAATCCGTTACCGGTTACCGGTAACGGGTAGTGGATATCCGTTACCTGTTACAAGTAGCGGCAACGATAATCCGTTACCGGTAACAGGTAACGGGTTTCTATTACCCGTTACAGTAACGATAACGGGAAAGTGCCACCCTAATCATCGATGGTCGAAGTTTATTACTCATAGTTATATAACAAATGCTCAATTCGATTTTATTGGACAACTCAAAGAATCACTTGCAAGTGATACTGCCATAGTGAATATGGATTTTGCAGAAAATTGTGTAAGTTTTTTATTTATGTTAAATGTTAAATCTTTCTTTACAACTTTCTCATTTGATTCCTAATAACATAATAACATAATCTGTGTATTTACAATAGTCACTTGAAGTACAAAACGAAATTATGAGTAAACATCGGTCAACGTCACAAGCTGCACTTTTTACCACACAAATTACAACAAAACTTGAGGTTGTCTTATGCATAAAACTATCCATAAACAGGAAAAAATGCATTCTCTTTTGTTTAGATTTGCAACATCGTGATAATCTCAGATTATTTAAACCACGATACTATGTTTGTGCATTGTGCACAAAAGTTGATATGTGATTATATAAAAAAAATCTATCCAGATGTTACAACTATCATGTATTTGAGCGATGGCTGTGCTGGACATTTCAAAAACAACTTATCTATGTTAAATTTAGTAAATCATAATCGAGATTTTGAATATAAAGCGGAATGGATATTTTATTCTGTAAGTAATTTATGATGCTAACTCTGGTTCTGTTTTTTGAACATATGATCAACTTAGACAAGTCACGGTAAAGAAGCTATTGATGGATTGGGCGCTGTCGTGAAAAGTGCTGCACGTCGTGAAACAATGAGAGCTGGTAGTCCTGAAAAGTCTTTCCTTACACCGATCGAATTCTACAACTTTTCGAAACAAAAGTTTGCTCCAAAATGCTTGTCCACGACCACGATCCAACCAGATTCAACTATACAACAACAAAAAGAGGTTAAAATACATATCTGGTATTTAAGCGGAACTGAAATCAAACAACATTTTGAAAAATATTTATCTGGTCGCTGGGAGGCTCGTTCTTGTACTGGACCAATTAATGGTAGGTAATTTTCTGATTTTAAAGTAAATCCTAATCTTCTTTTATAATCAGGATTTTCATCATTCAGCATTTCAGCATTTCAGCATTTTCAAGCAGTCGACAATCAAATAATACGCTGCAAAATAACTTCTAATGCTCGTCTTTATCAAGATTTTTCAATCGTCTCATCACAACAACGAAAATTCAAACATGTCAAAAATGTTTTGATGATTAATGATGTCAAAATTGGTGATTATGTTGTGGTCGAGTACGATGAATCTTGGTGGTTAGCGATAATACAAGATATTGAACTTAATTTAAAAGAATTAAAAGTATCATTTCTACATCCATCTGGACCGCGGGTTAAATCAACATTTCGAAAGAACGTTCATGAAGAATAAAATAGGCAGATTCCGGGGGCCATTTTTCGAAAAAATCGACTTTTGAGCCTGTTCTATTGCAGTTAGCGCATGATTCAAATCAAAATTAAATATCAATTCCTAGATAACTCGACGAGGGCTACAAGACTAGCAT